TTCTCCTCCCCAACTCCGTCCTAGTAAAGAGTTCGACAGACCATGTCCTCAGCAAGAGCCAGACACAATCCTCACCCTGCAATCTTCTGCCCCCTCGGAGATTCCAGTTTCCGTCATCGAGGGGGTGAGCCAGCAACGCCTGAGGCCAATCGCACCAGAGTGAACCCTCATCAGCCGGTACCCATCCGACAACCAAAGCTGCCCGACGCCAATTGCATCCAATGAAAGTTCCCCTAGCCGGTACCCCTCAGACAGCCCCGATGCACCCTCTCTCCGTCCTCACAAAGAGTCATCTCGTGCCCTTTGCCCTCCATCTTGGACAGATCCCCAAGCTCAACAGAACCGCCCCATATGAATTCACGAAATTTCATAAGCGAATTTTAGTCGATTTTTGAGACCACATGCCATTAGGACCTTCGACCACTGAAATCACTAAGACTTATTACCAGTACCAGTAAAAAACCAGACTAACGATTGTGTAGAGTGAGAAGTTTTTTAGAAGCTTTTATAGGAAATTATTTCGAGAATATTTTTAGAAGCTTTTATAGGAAAATATTTCGAGAATCAGCAGTTAGATTTGGGAAGCTTCTATAGGAAAATATTTCGAGTTGTAGAATCAGAAGTTTTTTAGATGCTTATTATAGAAGAATATTTCAAGAATATTTGTAAAAGTTTTTATAGAAGAATATTTCGAGAATCATAAGTTTTTTTTTTTTGGAGACTTTACTAGGAAAATATTTCAAGAATATTGGAAGAATAGTTTTGAAGATAACCTAGTCGTATCCCAAAGTATTTTCGGAGACTTTAATAGGAAATTATTTCGAGAATATTAGAAGAATAGTTTTGAAGATAACCTAATCGTATCCCTTTGAGCAAAATCAGAATATATCACAAGGACAAAGAAACCCACGAAGAGTAATCAATGAAAGCATCAAAACCATGTGGATCATCAAACGACTAAGGACACGAAACCATGCCATACAATCAATCTTTAAAATAGGGCCCAATTGTAACGACGCAGATCCCGTACGAAGTGAAAGCTGAGAAAAAAACCTTCTCCCTTCTTCTTCAACCCTTCCTTCCACTTACCTCTCACCCTTCAAACCCTACCCCTGCACCTCTGGGGGAAGAAGAGTTCACTTCCTCCCGCTGCTAGTTCAAGGCTCAAGGCAACACTAACTCCAAAGGTATAAGCGGCCATCTTCGATCCCTGTAGGGAGTCGAAAACAGTGTGGCACCCCTCGCCAAGCCCGTTGACAAGTCACCACAGGAGGTTCGAACCACCATAGCCGTAAACTTACCACACACTTACATATAGTTGAAGAAGAAGGCATATTCGGAATCACTACTCATCTCATGAACAGCTGCATCGTACCAAATAAAGCCCGAAGTCATACAACCACCACCTCATGCCCCGGTCGTTCTCAGCGCCCGACATACTCGAATTTCATGGCGCGCCCTAGATCTTCGATATCTCATCATCCACTGGACCATTTGCTCTAAGATTTGGACCACCTCAGCTCCTCGACATAGCCCATCGGCGGGCCAATTTTCAGCTCAGGGCGCGCGCCCAATCGCGCGCAATCGTCGAGCGCGCGCGCGCCATTTTCCTTGCTGCGTGCAGTTTTCCAGCACGCGCGGCTCCTCGCCTTGGCGGTAACCTTGATTGACGATCGATGCTGCCGGGGCGCAGCGCTCCCGGTAGCGCTGCGCCCCCTTTGTTCAGGCCAAAACCCACGGCCGAGCTATCTCTACCATTCGCTAATCTACCATTCGCTACTCGAGAGCTACTCGGGACTCGCGACTTGGAACTCGTGACTTTCATTCTTTTCTTTTCTTTACGTTCCTTCTCGTTGTTTTTTTTTTTTTTTTTTTTTTTTTTTTTTTTTTTTCCCCTCTTACTTACCGGTCCCCCGCCCGGCGACCACCGGAAGTAGCGGCGCGTATACGGCCGCCCAAAAAAAAAATAGCAGGCCGAGGTACTGCTGGTTTAAAACACTGACCGTGGTATCAGGAGTACTCCAGGGCCGGATTTGGGTCTCCCTCAACCGCCACACAAAGTCTTTTCTATCCTATCCCCTTGCTAGTTGGGCTCAAAACCACCAGTGCTCTGTCCCATTCTTGCAGAAAATGAGCTCCCATTTTTTATTTTTATTTTTAAATTAAAAAACACTTGTGGTCCTTTGGACCACAGATTGCATAAAAGGACCGCTTCCCCAATTTGGGGACTAGGCCCCAGGCTGGCAGGCCTCCCCATCAGATTCTACATGTGATTGAATGGGTCGGATGCCACTGGGTTCCCGTAATACTATAATGTTCCCGTGTCCGGGGGCCAAGTCCCACTAGCAGCGTTGAGTTTCCCCAACACCTAAATCTGGGCGTGTTTGAGGAGATGTGCAGAAATGGCCCCTCAAACACGTCCAGATTCAGGCCTGGGCCCCACTAGCAGCGTTGAGTTTTCTCAACACTTGAATCTGGGATTGTTTGAGGAGATGTGCAGAAATGGCGTTGAGTTTACTCAACCGCACATCCCCTCAAACACTTCCAGATTCAGGCCTGCTAGTGGGACTTGGCCCCCCGAGGGACGGAGATCCCACTACCAAAGTATCTGGAATAGTGGAGAAGGTGTATGACTCCGGAGAACCGCTGATCGGCGGTGTGGTGTTTCTTGATTTTTTTTTTTTTTTTTTTTTAATTATTTTAAATGCCCAAGGCTTATATTATCAAGGAGAACAGACGCCGGGGTCCTCACAGTCTACCCGGAAAAGGAACCTTCTGGGAGTATTACCCAGTTTCGCTTACTGGGAGGAACCCTGCAAAGGACCAACCCCCTGGAAAGCAAAGAATGCAGAAAACCAAGAGGACTGTAACCTTTTTTTTTTTTCTTTTTTTCTTTTTTTTGAATCAACCCGACTGATAAGAGCAGACACATCTAGCACCGTCAGGGAGGCTCCATCTATTTGTGGGGAGCAGCACCTGCTGGAAATCAGGTCCAGCGTCCCCTTGGATACATCTTTGTAGCACAATGTTTGTTGGGCATATGGCCATTAGAGTTGTTGTTCCCGAGCTTCCTTCTCTCCCCCCGGGCTGCCTATGTTACCCTTCCAATTTGCAAAGCTCCTACTTCCCACTGACCTAGCCCCACCCAGGATAGTGTCCGCCGTGCTTTAATGTCTACGCACGTCCTGGCGGTAATGGCTAAACTCCTACCCTTGGTGTCTGCAACCCACCTTATTCTAACCCCCCATTTTCTAAAACCCTTTGTACCTGTTAAACCTTGTACCGTCATCAAATCCCGCGTTTTCCACAACAATGAACCTCGGTATCCAGCAACCCATTATTCACAAATACAACATCTAAGCCTGGAGTATCTTTCAGACCCCTGAAACCTCTGCCTTTCTCATAAGTTCTATGTACCGCAATCTGATCCTTGCACCTGCGTCAACAGGGGAGCAATGCGCGATGTGATCCTTCCACCTTTGGTTTGATTGAACAGACCTCTTGGTCCATTGTTGTGTATATGGTGTCAGCTGGACCACGGCTCTCCCAGCCCCTACTCTGGAAGACAGGCC